CTGTTCTCAACATATGACCCTGGAGGCTGCCACAAGCTTGGCTTTCCGCACTTTCCACAACACTTGTTACTTAGGACCTTCCCCAATCTATGCCACCCCACGTGCCTTCCAGCTCTATAGGTCTGCAATCCCCTCATGTATGTTATTTCATTCCTCAATTTCCAAAATAGTAATGCCAGGAGCTGAGGCCAACAAAACTACATCATTAAGTAGGGACATGGTTGAATGGAACTTCCCCTCTGCCTCTTTCTGTTGCTCTTTTGAATTATTTCAAGTTTTAACAAAAACTTATTATGTATGAATGAGGGCAAGCTTATTATCTAAACATGCAAATTCCTAGCACTTTTCCCTGTGCTGCTCAGTTGACTATGCTAAAGAAACAGGCCATTACTCAGGTGTGTTCAGCTACCATCAATCCGAGAGTAGTTTCTCCCAGGTGACAAGAGTCTTCAATTTTCTGCTGAAATTGTATTCACCCTTCCAGCTCCAATTCATACATCACCCGCACGCTGTAACTGTACAGGGTTTGCATTTGTTTATAGGCCACAACCACTGTATAATGGCAGCATATAAAAAGGAGAGACTAAGCAATAGCCTGTATGTTCTTTACCATTTTTCACGGGGCAGAATGGCTGATAAAAAAAAGCACTTGTTTTCACTTAATTTGTGACACACATACATACACACACAAATCACAATCTGGAGGTGGATTTTAGTTTCACTGTCTGGATCACCGAAACATTACTCTTGATGGAGTCACATGTTGAAAGTGCAAATCAGTTTCAGTTAACAAAAAATATTTACTTAGCAACTGTGAAGAGCTGTTTATCAACAGCACTGTGTCACCATTTGTGCCGCTGCTCACTGGCACACAGAACCAACGGCTGACTGCCCAACAGCCAGTTGTTTGCAGCAGCTATTTGAGCTATTTTCTTTTACTCAATCAGTAAAAATGCAGACTTACTAGGTAATGCTGACAAAAAGTCACATCTTTGTACTCAAGACATACAATCCCATTAATGGCAGGTTACAGTACCAAATCCTTTTAGTGAATGCCCTGGAATATTATCAATATCAATGGAAACCTGGGTGCATGGAAATGCTTTGAAAGCATAAATACAACTACTGCTAGTCAAACTTATTTGTATAGCAGAGCGTATTCCATTACTGACCACTAGAAATGGATAGTGCAGGCGCAAAAGCACAGCTGTTGCAGCTTGACTTCGATTCAGCTGCCTGCTGCTGTGTCTGGGAAGCAGTGCAGGGCCACCCTTGTAGGAAACCTGGATAGAAATATGGGTTCCTGGACTGTGCCTAGACTAGCCCTGGCCACTGCAGCCACTGGGGAGTGAACTGGTAGAGAGAACTCCATCTCCTTCCGTCATTCTTTCAAATAATAATGAAAAAGCGCGTTGTTATCTACACAATGCAAGCTTGTCAATGGTTTTAGTCAGACTTAAAAATGCATTTTAAATTTTTTCCAAGACCGTTCAAATGGTGTACTGACCACAAGAAGGGAAAAGTTGGCTGACAAATGCAATCTATAAAGAAACTGCTCTGACTTAATGTTGTCATTATGGGAGACTTTCTTAAAATATGAAAAAAAAAAAAAAAGCTACATGGCATACATTTGTCTTCACTGGGAAACTTACATGCATCAGACGACCTGGTCTCCAGGAGGCTGAAGATAATTCAGAACTTTAAAGTTTGGATTCTACTAATACGCCACAAAACGACCAGTTTAATAAACGTAAGCCATACTGTCACTCTCTCTTAACTTTAAAGCCCCAGGGCTCTCCCCTCAATCCCCAATCACATCACAGAGCAGCTTTCTGCTAATCAGTCTTAGCTGTCACCTGAATATGGCAAATTTATGTAGATTAGAAAATTACAAATTTCGGGCCCAGTGCAGTAGCCTAGTGGCTAAAGTTCTTGCCTTGTACAATCTGGGATCCCATATGGGTGCTGGTTCTGGTCCTGGCAGCCCCACTTCCCATCCAGTTCCAAGCCTGTGGTCCGGGAGAGCAGTTGATGACGGCCTGAAGCGTTGGGACTCTGCACCCCCATGGGAGACCTGGAGAAAGCTCCAGATCGGCTCAGCTCTGGCCATTGAGGCCACTTGGGGATTTTATCAACATCTGGAAGATCTTCCTCTGTCTCTCTTCCTCTCTGTATATCTGACTTTTCCATAAAATAATCTATGCCCATTAGGGATGACAGCACCACAGGCTGAGTATTAGCTTACTTTGCCATTGCACCAGCCTCAAGAACTATGGTGTTTCCAATAATAACAAATTTTTTTACAAATCTCCCAGATTCTCACACGGACTTCAAACACCAAAGAAATAATCTACTGAGATTAAGCAATTTAAAAAATATGCTTATTTCACTTAAACCAGTTTATACTACTTAAATTTCTTAAAACACCCCAGGGCACATTAAGCTGGAAAACACTACAAATAATCAAGTTGCCTCCCATCCTTCACTTTACGTCCCTTTTTTGGGTTGCTTCCACAGAGGCCATGGATCAACTTTGAAAGCAATTGGATCTAAGGGTTTTAAAAACGCTGCACAAGAATGACTATCTCATTGTTTAGGCTTGAATTAAGCAGGCTTCCTTTATACCAAATTAAAATTCAATACTATCTGTAATTTGACAAATCTTAAGGGCCCAATCAGGAACAAAGTGTTGGATTTTACCTCATCTTGGCAGACTCTCTGGTAAGCAGGAACACATCTGATATAAACAGATTTAACAGAAACTCTCCACAATTGAGGCAAGCTCTTATTTAAAAACCTAAGGGGACTGAGAGTGGCGGTATAGCAGGCTTAAGATGTCTGCAGTGTAGGCATCCCCTGTGAGAACTAGCTCACCAGCGCTTCCTATTCAGCTCCCTGCTCACATGTCTGGGAAAGCAGATGTCCCAAATACTTGGGCTCCTGCACCCACGTGGGAGATTTGGATTTGCGCTTGGCTTCTGCTTAGTCCAGCCTCAGCCTAGTACTGAGTAAACCAGTGGATAGCAGCATTCTCAGTCTGTCTTTCAAATAAAATATTAGGGAAAAAACCCCAAGGGAACATAATCTAAATCTTATTCTTCGGTATCCTCATGTACAATTGGGGGTGGGGGTAAGGGCAGGATTGGATCTGCACCACCACATGGTTAAGACAAACCTCTGCCTAGGGTGCTGGCACCCCATACGGGCGCTGGTTCCTCCCAAGTTATTTCACTTCTCATGCAGCTTCCTGCTTGTGGCCTGGGAAAGTGGCAGAGGATGGCTCAGAGCTTGGGTCCCTTACCTATGTGGGAAACCTGAAAGATCCTGGTACCCGGCCTCAGACTGGCCCTGCTCCAACTGTTATGCCATTTGGGAAGTGAACCAATGGATGGAAGATCTCATAACTCTGCTTTACAAGTAAGATAAAACAAGGTGTGCGTGGAGGGAGGGTGGTAGTGGGAATAACGCTAGGAAGCTGATTAGGCAACTTTATATAAAGTACTCCACCAATCTCTGGGTTTGAAAAAGAGGTAACAGGAGCACTAGAATTTAGCCATATGAAAGTTAAAATGAGGTTTAGGTCCTGACTGCAAAATTACACCTAGGGTAGTCTCACACATGTAAGCAGCTTGCCTTTAAAAGGCTCCTGTTTGACATGCACCTTATGTTTTTTTCTTTTCTTCTACTGTGAGATAATAGGATATCCCTGTCTTCCCATCACAGGCCTAAAACCAGTCATTCCTCCAGGACCCTTAGCTCATTTGTGCTTAGCAACCATATACGTGTTACTCTTTCAGCTATGTCATTGCTTAATACTCTCATTGCTTCTGAGTATACCCCAAAGACACACACAACAGACTGGATAGCCAGTCTGGAGATCAATGTATCACTAGGGTGATGTTTTATCTTAAAATTAAAAAAAAAAAAAAAGTGTTATCTAAAAAGGACAGGCACTTGATACAGCAGTAAAGACGCTGCTTGGCACATCCAAATCCTATATAGGAATGACAGGGTTTCAGTCTTAGCTCAGCTTCTTATTCAAGTTTCCTACTAAGCCTCACCTTGGGAGAAAACAGGTGCTGGCTCAATTTTGCGAGCACCTGCCATCCATGTGGTTTTGGACTGGCCAACCTTGGTTGTTAAAAACATCTGAGGAGTGAGCCAGTGAATGGAATATATACTTCCATTGTCAGCAGTGCTTTTCAAGTAAATTTGCCATCAATAATACTCCAGAAGTGGAAGTTCTTGCGGAACACTTCCAAGATATTGTGAAGGTGGTATTCAACTTCTTATTTACTTATTTGAATGGCAGAATGACAGAGCGGGCGAGACAAATCATCTTCTATCTGCTGGTTCATTCATCAGTCAGCAGCCAATCCTGAACCCCTCCAGATCTCCCACACTGGTGGTAGTGGCCAAAATACTTGTTTGTTCTTCTGCTGCTTCCCCAGGTATATTAGCAGGGAGCTGGATCAAACTGGAACAGCAGGGACTTGAACTGGCACTCCGATATAGGATACTGGCACCACCTGCCCCACTCACTCACTATGAGCACAGAACAATACCCTCATTTTTTACTTGTGTGTACCATTTACTTTGCTTTTCCTCACATTTTAGTCACACACCAGTCAGTTCTGGTTCAAGTTCTGGCCAATCTATTTTCTATCTAACTTCCTGCTGATCTTCATGGGAAGGAGATGATGTTGATGGTTCAAGTACTTGGGTTCCCTCACCCATGTGGGAGATCTGGTTGTAGCTCTGGTTCTGGCTTCAGCTTAACCCAAAGCCAGTTGTTGAGATCATTTGAGGGATAAACCAGTTAGAAACTCCTAGAATTTAAGACTACTGGTAATGCAAGGACTAGCAGAAATAGAAAAAAAAAATCTCTTAATAAAAATGTTTTTGATGGAAAATAATAGCAAATGCAAACTTCCATATATCCATTTATAGGCCATACGAGCATAAGCACAACCATATGGGGGAGATAACCAGTCTCTCCCTTCATATATATTCTTTTTTATTTTCTCATTATACCTTCCCAAAACAGACATTCAACAGTAGTTAGAATGGCCATCTCCCAACATTTAAAAAAAACTGCACCCCCCAATGGGTGAACAAAGTAAAGAGTAGTAACCTAGAGTTCAGCTCAGTAAGCCACTGTGGAGCCTTAAGTGGTGAGGTCTTCCAATTTCAGAGTGATGTGTCTTCAACTTGTATCATCATTTTAGTGGAAAAACATAATTTTGGTGAAATGAGATTCATTTCCCGACAGGATTAGTAACAGCATTCACTGCATTTCACATTCTTCTTTTGTGAACTGTGAAGAAAATGAATGGTAGCTAGAAGATCAATGGGATTCCAGCTCCAGCTGCAGATGGAGTGACAATATACCAAGACAAAAAACACCTATATTTTGATTTACAAAGCTAACAGCAGTTTTAAATCTGCAACTTAATTACAGACCAACTACACCACAACCTTTTCAATGGCAAAAATACAAAAAAGTGTTACAAAAATATCTCAGAAAAAGTGCATAGTCTAAGTGCATAGTAAATGAAAGCACTGAAAAATATCTTGCTAGAGGGAGTTCAGCTTGGAAAAGTTCTTACCAAAGCTAAACAAATTTATTTTACACAAACTATACTCAAAAATAGCTTTATGAGACTGATTTCTGGCTAAAAGTATCAAAGGGTTTATTAGTCAAGAAACAAATACCTTAACTGACAAGGATGGTTAGAAAAGAAACAAAGAAGCTGCCTATCCCCAAATTCAGATCTACTAAGATTTCTTCAGCATTAAGGTCCACACTAACATATTCCTTCACGGCAGAATGTGGTGGTTAACCCATGGAATTAATTATTGCTAAAACAGTTTTGAATGAGAAATAATTTAAAAAAGAAAATTAAACCTGATACAATCTGACCAAACACATGTCAATTTACAGTTTCCAAGATTTTACAAAATACCTACATTTACACAATAGGCTCCTGGCAGCATTTCAGACAAGTATTCTTTTTTAATTTATCCTGATGTGCTATAAATGAATAAATTACACTATTCAAGGAATTATCATCAATACATTTCCTTTCTCTTGGTTCAGAGAAAAGAGCGCGCCAGTCAGATTGAGGGGAACGCACAGAGAATGACGGAGAAGCAGGGTGGGGCTAAGATTAGAGGGTCAGCACTCACTTGGGCCTCACACAGTGCGATGCTTTCCAAGGGTAAGAGTCCACTGCCTAGAGCCATTTCACATGTGGTTAAAAAAAAAAATCTTGTAGTCAAACCCTTTAACGCTTTCATTCTTACTCAAAATCAGTCCAGCTGTTAGTCAGCTGTAGCAGCAGATTCAATACTAAGTTCTGGCAGTTGCAGAACCAGGTACTGTATCTGCAAGTCATTAAAAAAAAAAAAAAAAAGAAAAAAGAAAGAAAAAAATTGAAAGACTGCCTATTCCCTTCAGAGGGGAAAAACCCAAAACATTTTTAAAATTAAAAAAAAAAAAAAAGTTTTTTTTTGAGGAAAAGTCATACATTTAATCTAACTCAACTTATCAAAGGAATATCATGTAATAAATGGCTTGAAGTAGTCTTATCAAAAAATCAGGGAGTTTTTATTTCATAGTGAGTCAGCAAGGCATTTTTGTTGTTGTTTAAAAAAATCTCATTTCCTTACAGAAACAGTTTTTAGTTTTTAATGAACTTGTAAACAAAAAAAAAGCTCCCATTTTCAAAATAAAAACAAAATCCCAGATCGTATAGATGTTTACAGTGATTACATTTATCTAAGCAACATACATACATGTTCAATTGTAAGATGTTAACTAAATTTCTGTGACAAATATGCTTTTTTTTTTTAATACCAAGAACATTATAGAGTTAATGCAGAGTCCTAAGGATTATCTAGTAGTCACTAAGTTTTTCTTAAGTCTTCACTTTAGATGCTGTTATTTCTAGCACAGTTAAGCAGGCAGAGTCTTTCATATGCTCAAACACTGGAATCTTTGGTTGCTACCATATCAGCTGGCTTGCAAACAGGAAGCCAGCCATTTTAAGAATGTTTTAAGTGAACAACTTGCAAACCCCAGGGGTGGAACAACCCTAAGAACGAACAGCTGTGAGAATTTACAACCATCACAACTGCCACTGAAGACTGTTCATGCCGTTCTTCTGAAATGAGATTTCAAAGCAGTATAGTTCAAAATAAAGGATCTTAACAAAAAATTGGCATATGCACAATGTCTCCACCAATTTGTGTGTGTCAACCATTTAGGTAACTTTTCCACTTGAAAAAATGCAATAGAAAACCGGACACCATGTTTCACTACCTCAGTTAATATTCACAATTACAGCAGCTACAACTCAGGATACAGCATCACCAATGCTGCCCAGAGCCAGTTTATAACGAAATTAAGTTCTTTACACCAAGTAAATGGTTGTCCACAACCACCGGCTAGTGCACATATGAACTAAAATTTCTAGATTTGGGGAGAAACAAATGCTGCTCCGATCATCTGCTCTGCTTCTTCTGTTCCACAATTCATGCTTAGAAACCTGTCAAAATGAAAACAGAAAAAATTATTAATTTTCCATGTAACAAACTACCCAAAACTAAACCCAAAAGAGAAGTTGGATCAAACTAGGCCTAAAATCCATCCTTAACGGCTCAGTTTTACTCTTTGAAAATCATTAGCTCAACTTTAAAAAACAAACAAAAAATAAAACCCTGAATCTATAATTAAAACTTTCCTGCTTGGGATGACTCAAGGAGTGGTGTACAGGGAATCTAAGCCACCTCTAACACCCTGTTCTCAAGCTAGGTAATTCATACTAATTCTAATGAGTACATTCTGTGCATTACACTGTTTCTAATACCTAGATTATATTGTTTGTGTTCAAATGTTCACTGAATGGAAAATTGCTTTACAGATCGTTTTGATCTTAGCATGTGCATTGTTTCTAACACAAAGTAATAATGGCAAATAGCAATAATTATGTATCAGGCATGTATATCAGCTGTTCCACCGAATGCAGACCTGAGAAGTTTATGTCTGTACAGAAATCTAAAAAAACAAAACAAAACAAAAAAAAACCCAACAACAACAACAAAAAAAAACAAAAATTAAATAGTTTTTAACATATATTAGTTGCTTTGAAAAGGCAATTTTTTTTTGTCACTAAACTGAAAATACACAAAATGATGTTTTGGGGGCTTACTTCAAGTCTTCCAACTCTAACCATTCTCCCTCTCCTCCCACTAGGGCTTCTATATAAAGGCAGGTTTGAATACAAGCGAACTTGTCTTCAAGGTAGATGTACACATTATCTATGATCAGTGGCAAAGACAGGGAATATGCCTGTCAGCAAAAACCTGAACATCCCACTGTCTTCTCTCACTTTGTCACATTTTCTTTGAGGCATTAATGTTTCTTTGATCTCTTTCAAAAGCTTTATTCACAACCAGAGCATACCTCATTATAGTCCACTGTGACCTGTTTGCTCACATCTTTAGCACAGAACATGTTTTAGTAACCATAAACTGTTCCTTGTATCTTATTCCTCAACACTTCATGGGACACACTATTTAATAAATACCTGTGCCAAGTATTTGTGCCAAGCCCTGAGGACAGATATGAGTACTTTATTCCTTTACTTTTCCAAAGTACCTAACAACAGAACAGTAGGATTAGAAAGGTAAACCTCAATAACCTCAACAACTTATATTGGACAATATTCTCTAATTTTTCCAGTATGAAAAACCATAGGTTAAAAAAAAAAGACTAGATTAGCTAAACAGAAATTACCACCTACCCAACAAAATGATTACATAATGTCACTGTTCTTAAATATGAGTGTACTCTTAAAGTTATTTGTTGGGCTTTCCTTTATCATAGCCTGTTTATGTGATTATAGTCTGACTGTTCAGTATCTTTCAAATGGAAAGTTATGGTTATTAACTAAAAAGATAAATTTTATTATCAGTCAAAATATTAGAAAACATATCTTTAATAGTGAAGTGCTAGATAAACTGTTTAGCCTTCAATAAAACATGTGAGGAATTTTTGAGTCAATTATTCACTACAATTCTTTAGGGACTGCTTAAATGCTGGCCTAATAACATTCTTTGTAGAACAGAGCAGTCAAATCTTTACTCTTCAGGTGGGCCAATGGCAGGATACTCCAGAGTTATCAACTTTTTCCAGAGAAACGTCCTAAATTGTTAGTACAGTTTGTTTGGAAGAAACCTCAGCAGGAATATCCAGCAGCTTTTCAATACTTGCTCTTCCAGCACTTAGGGCATTATGCATTCTCTGCTCCAGTGTCCTTTAGTTCTTCCCTCTTCCTTTGCAGATTCGGTGGCATATCTCCCAAGTTCCAAAAGTCCAAACAACAATTTTGAAGATAATATTATTTAAAATCAGCGATGAATCCCTTTGATCCTAAAACAAACAAACAGACAAAAGGTGTGTGTGTGGGGGAAGTACAAATTAGGACAGGATTATTTCAGAATCTCTAGCTTTCCAGTCCCACATGATAACCTAGTGACTGGAGTTCTCTAGCTTTGCATGAATGTGCTGGGATCCCATAGAGGCAATAGTTTATGTCCTGGCTACTCCACTTCCCAACCAACTCCCTGCTTGTAGCCTGGGAAGGCAATAGAGGAAGGCCCAAAGCCTTGGGACCTTGCGCCCTAACAGGAGACTCAGAAAAGCTCTTGGCTTTGGCTTGGCTTAGCTCCAACCACTGCAGTCAGTTTTGGAGTGAACCAGTAGACGAAGATTTTCCCTCTGTCTTTCCTCTGTAAATCTGACTTTCCAATAAAAACAAATAAATCGGGTCAGGTATAGTAACCTAGTGGCTAAAGTCCTCGCCTTGAAAGTACCAGGATCCCATTATAGGCTCTGGTTCCAATCCTGGCGACCCTGATTCCCATCCAGCTCCCTGTTTGTGGCCTGGGAAAGTAGTTGAGAATGGCCTAAAGTCTTGGGACCCCGCACCTGTGCGGGAGACCCAGAAGCAGCTCCTGGCTCATGGCTTTGGATTAGCTCAGCTCTGGCCATTGCAACCACTTGGTGAATAAATTAACGGATGGAAGATTTTTATTATCTTTCCAATTAAAATTATATTCTTTTCAAATTCCTTACACAGGAGGAGGGGACTGTGTTTATAATTACACAGGAGGATTTTATGATGATGATCTATAGCCCTCTATTTGAAACAAACAAACAAACAAACAAACAAAAAAGAATATTCCATTCTTCAACAAACTCTAAATGCTCTTGATTTTTTTTTTATTGGAAAGGCGGATATACAGAGAGGAGAGACAGAGAGGAATATCTTCCATCCGATGATTCACTCCCCAAGCGGCAGCAACGGCTGGAGCTGAGCCGATCTGAAGCCAGGAGCCTCGGGCTGTCCTCAACTGCTTTCCCAGGCTGCAAGCAGGGAACTAGATAGGAAGCAGGGACTGCCAGGATTAGAACCGGCGTCCATATGGAATCCTGGCGCAGGCAAGGCGAGGACCTTTAACTAATACGCCATTGCGCTGGACCCGCCCTTGATTTTTTTTAAGCAACAGAATTGACAAGCAGTTCAACAGAATGGTTAGGTAGCAGCAAGAATTGTAAGTTTGTGTGATGGGGGTTTGAATTCTATGATTCTTCCATAAGAGATACATAATTTTCAGTTATTTTGATGGCCATTGTGGCCACTTGGTGAGTCAATCAACGGACAGAAGATCGAATCTCAATCTAAGTGACAAGGTAAAGTTAAAGAAACAAACATCCAAATAACCACAACCCCTCTTCTTAAATCAGGAAAGACAAAGAAGTCCACAAATGAGATGTCAATTTGAGTATATCAGATGCACAGCACACATCATTTGCACTAAAAAGGCAGATTGAGGATTTGAACTCCTTTGTATTTCATGTTATAGCACAGGTTCTGTGAAGAAATCTGTAGTTTCTCAGTTTTAATACCTGTTGCAACTGATTCCTTCCTTCTTCAACTGGAAGGCGGTCTGCATCACACACATTGCGTCACAGCAACGCTGTATGGGTCTTCTTGTAGTCGTGAAATAATCCAGACAACTTGGTAGTTGCAAACTTTGGCAGTCCCAGTAAACCTTGGAGATGGAGCACTAGATCACCACAAATGAATTCCTGTGATTTCATCTTCAGCTCCTCCTGGGTTATTTAGTTCTTTTGTCGCCAGTTCTACTGTCCACAGTAAAAAAAAAGCTGACAAAAATTCAAGATTTCAGCAAGCAGATGCAGTTCCCTGGTACTTCTTTGGATTGAGTATACTTAAGGCAAATGAGTCTCTCCAGGTATTTTCAAGTTCTTCCCCTGTAGGGTTATATTGCTGAGTGACCAGCCACGCTCCTAGCAGCAATTGGTGGAAGCCAGAAAAAAGCTAGACATAAATGGTAGGTGAAGTCCAGTAGACATTGGAAGGCAATTCAAGGAAGATCATGGATATGGTAGGTTAATATGATGAAAAAATATTCCTAATCTTTAAATGCCACCAATTTGACATGTACTTCTACTATTACATACAATTTGGACCTCTGGCTAGAGGTAGTGAACAAGAGTGAAGATAATGGAAGTAGACCAGAATTACACAAAGCTCTGTATTTCGCTTCACTGCTTCCTGAATGTTCCACCACCTCCATTCTTAACTAAAGAAAAGATGAACTATATTTAAGTGTCTTAAAAATGTTTGCTTTCCCTTTGTTGCATTTTAAATGTCTTCAAAAGTAGTTTTTCGATAACCAAACATAGCTGGAGAGAATGAAATAGATTTGAAAGTGTGTCAGCTATGAAGCTATATATACTAATTAAGAAAAAAGGAGATTTTTGACATTTCTAGGGAATTGTTGGAACAACTTATGGTTATTTCTCTTGGTAGAAACATTCTTCAAAAATAACTGTATAGAATACATAAGTGAGTGCTATTATTGGGAGTGTTTTTCCAGGAAGCTATTCCTGTATTATAGGATGCATGTACAAAACTCATTCCAGGGGGCTGGCACAATGGCTCAACTAGCTCATGTTCCACCTGCAAGCACTGGCAGCCCATATGGTTACTGGTCCCCACTGCTAGCCTTCTAATCCAGTTCCTTGTTTACAGCTTAGGAAAGCAGTGGAGGATGGCCCAAAGTCTTGGGACCTAGAGCCCACCTTGGAGACCCAGAGGAAGCTCCTGCCTCCAGACTGGCCTTTGTGGCTATCTGGGTAGTGAACCAGCAGATGGAAAAATCTTTCTGTGTCTCTCCTTTTCTCTGTAAATGTACCTTTCCAATAAAAGCAAATAAATCTTTAAAAGAATAAACCCATTTCAGAGATGTAAAGCATCTTAAAGCAGTTATGGAAAACAAAAAATAAATATAATGTTCAAAAAAAAAGCACCTTCTAGGGTTGACACTGTAGCACAGCTGTTGACATCAGCATTCCATTTAAGTGGCAGATAAAGTCCTGCTCCTCCACTTCCTACCTGGCTCCCTACTAAGGCTCATGGGAAAGCAGTGAAAGTATCTGGGCCCCTGTCACCCATCCAGTAGACCTAGATGGAGTTTCAGGCTCCTGGCTAACACATGGCTGCGGCCATCTGGCTAGTGAAACAAAGGGAGGATTTGTTTCTTCCTCTCTCTCTGTAGTTCTGAATAAATAACACCTTCTTAAGACCTAAACTAGAGAAAAGTAATATTGTATTTCCATCATCATATCAAGGATTTCCTGAGCTCAATGAATCACTGAGTTTTCCTTAAACACAAAAAACTGCTGTGGTAGAGATTAGGCTTTTAAACACATTGACTGCTCAAGAACTGTAATTAGAAACAATACTGAGCAATTGTTGTCAATTCTCAGCATCCTAAGGGATTTCTTAAGGGATGACCCAGATAATGAAGTGGGGATGGAGATTAGGAGAATAGCTTTCATTTATGCTACCATCAAACCAACTATCCTTTCACAACTTTATATACAGACAGGAGCTGTGTAGGACTTGCTTTGGGCATTGAATTCTGTACCCAAAATAATTCAGATGTTTTCAAGAAGTCAAAGGACACAGAATTCTGTTGTGTATATTCTATGGAATGCATATTTTAAAAGCAAGCAAGACTCCACTAAGAATGGAAAAAAAAAAAAAAATCCTGAACTACACATCTTTGAAAGCTTAGAAAAAATTCAATTTTCATAATTATAATTTCACATTTATAATAATATGACTATCATGTCTAATGAGGCTACGCAATTCTTAGAATTTAAACTTACTTTTATGAAAAATAGCTACAATACAAAATAAGGATTTAACTTAAGTTTAATTGCAACTTTTTTTTTTCGAGGAAACATACTAACTCAGTGGATCCAACTTCTCATCTTTAGGACCTGGATAAGGCAAAAATTACGCTTGTTTATTCAATGACAAATACACAGCAAACTAACAATCAAACTAGCTTAAAATAAGGTGAATTCTTTCTGAAGGCTGCTGAATGCCTGAATGAAATGTTCTAGGTCAGATGAATTTCAATCTAATTTTAGTTCCAGAAACCACAACTCGTGATGATCCTATTATCCCAGCTAGCTTAGGCAAAAATTGGTTTTGTGAGAAAAAAGCACATCAAGTGTCAAAATCCTTGGTTTAGATTCTATTATTGATAAGACCATTTCTCAGTGCCCCAGCTACCTAATTCAAATCAACTTCCTGGCATTATGACTACACGGTGATGAAAATGCTCAAAAGAGGCAGTTAATTCCATACCGAGATGCAGAGGAAGATAATTAGATAATTCTATCCTGAACTTAAGTTTTATCACCTAAGAACACCCATTACAAAATAAAATAAGAAAGGGAAACCTATCCACTTCACTCCTAGTGATGAGCTGCTGGGATGAGGATGACATCAGTTGGTTTTACTTCTTGAAAGGTATTACCAGGTAAAATTCTATTTTTAAAATTAAAAATCACTTAAACACAACATTAGAAAATATTGATCAAAGACTAACTTGTAAAGGTCAAATTCAGACTAGAGCAGTAATTCAGAATTAAATTAGAATATAAAAACTCAATCTTTTTCTGCCAACCATTCCAAGTAGGCAGGCATTAAAAGTTAAGCCCCAGAAAGGGGGAAAAACAAAAATAAAACAAGCCATGAAAACTGGAGTCAAACTATATGGCAGTAGCAATTAAGAAATGGAGCCACGCCCACCAGTTCCTCTCCTTAGAGACAGAGTGCCAGAGACAAAGCATAAGACCAGTGGATCAATGGCATTAGCCCCAGTTATCTTCAATTGGGTAGGCCCAATAGCATACTTCCATTCCAAAATGAACCTTAAAGGCCTGATGTGTGACATTTAAAAAATAAGGCCAAATGCAAAGGAATTCTTTTGAAATTAAGGATTTCCATACTTAAATAGCAAGTAAGATGTTAATTTTTATGACTAATACAGATGCGTTGAGCTTTGTAGTCACTTGAGCATTTAAACAAAGCATAAATAGGATGCTTTGCAGCTGACAGACACTTGGGGGGCAATGCCACACTCCCATCTTCAAATTACACCAATTTCACAATTTTCCATTTTAAATGCTAAAGCACTGACATGCAAAAAAAAAAAAAAAAAAATTCTTAATACCGTTAGTCCAGAAGAAAGTCAAAATACCATGGCTAACCAGATTCATTAAAAATCAACAAGTGTTAGGTCTAGGATTTTGGATTGATTGATTATACCACATTCCCAGCACCAAATGTTTATTTTGGAAAAGGGTTAATGAATGAGTAAAAAAGATGCAATTGTTAAAAATGACCCAAAATCCCAAGAGAAATGATAAAATATACACACATATATGTATATACAAATACATATACATATATATATGAACAAGGACATTTGGGTTTAAAGTTAGTAGTCAAATTTTCCAAGGACGTCTTTTTTTTTTTTAAACATACAGCCAAATTTTTATGTTTTAAAACCACCTCCTTGATCTAACACTGTTAGAAATGAATGAATTACCCAATTTTGTATTCAAATTTTTTTTTCCCTGTAACGTCACTTGGTTCTTGGCTACTAACCTTTCATGTTACTCTTGGTTTTGTCAGTTTGCTTGCCTGTGGGGGTTTGGGCCTGCTGACCCTGCCCACTGGAAGATGCTGCCTGCTGTGCTGCTTTCTGCTTTAACATTGTCCAATCAAATGTGTAGTCATATTGGTGGTTTAGGGTCCTGAAAAACATAAATTTAAGCAAGTTATGCATATTACTTTTTAAATTTTGATATTTAATAGGGTTCTGTCTGCACCAAACATGGAGAGTTCCATGAAGCATGGATTAGCCACAATGATTTAATCTGACTTTCAGCTCCATAATCATCCACATCAGGGGCTGACACTATGGCCCAGTGGGTTAATTAAGCTGCTGCTTTTGATACACACATCCACTATTGAGTGTCAATCCTGAGCGCTGTGTTTCCAGTCAATCTCCCTGCTAATATGCCTGGGAAAGCAGTGGAAAATGACTACTATTTGAATCCCTGCCACCCATAAGGGAGACCTCAATGGAATCCCTGGTTCAGAACTGACCCTTGTGGCTCAACTAGAGTGAAACCAAAACGAAATACATACACACACACTACTGCTCACTTTTTCAAATAAATAAAAAAAGAAAAAGCAGTAAAACCCACCTGAAAAGGATGCGGAATAGCTGCCTCAGATACATGTAATCCGGGGCTTCTTCAAAGCGCAGCCCACGACAATAGTTTAAGTACATGGCAAACTCTGCAGGAAATCCCTATAGGTCCAAAAAATAAAAATCTTTTTTAAGACAGAAAAAAATACATGCATAGAAATATAGGCTTTTAAAAAAAGGAATATAGGTAAAAGAAAAAGAAAAAAATTGACTTGAGTAGGATATCTGTAAGAATATGAGTTAGAATAGCTTTAATCCAGTTTTCTCATCTTCTCATAAATTCAAACAGTATCTCATCATCCTACTCATTTAATTCTGTGCAGTATCTTGTTATACTGGTAGAAGACATAAACTAAATGGGCACTCTTCCATGCCTGATAATGCACTTTCTTTTATACAAAGGCTGGAATATATATATATATGTGTGTGTGTATGCTTAAACAGCAAAGCAAAATCACCAGGAGTGTAGCCTACAAAGCAAGCACTGTTAACATTTGTAATATATTACAAGTAGGCTTCCTCCTGGGCCTGGCATGATAGTCTAGTGGATAAATCTATGCCTTGCATGCACTGGGATCCCATATGGGCACCAGTTTGCATCCCAGCTGCTCCATTTCCCATCCAGTTCCACTTCTTGCCTGTGGCCTAGGAAAGCAGTAGGTCGGTACAAAGCCTTGGGACCCTGCATTTCCATGAGGGACCCAGAAGAAGCTCCTGACTCCTGGTTTTGGATTGACTCAGCTCTGGCCATTGTGGCCACATGGGGAGTGAACCAGTAGACAAAAGAAAGATCTTCCTGCAGTTCCTTCTCTATGCAAATCTGCCTTTCCAATAAAAAGAAATAAATCATTAAAAAAAAAAAAACCCATATTTCCTCCCATAAATATATCACCTTTTCTATTTATACAATTGTTACTATACTGCATTTATAAAATATTCTGCAGTTTTTACTAACACACTGCATGTTATCTCCAATAACTTCTGAATGGCTGCCTAATTAGTATATATACCCCATAAAAATGTATTCATTAGAAGGCACAGACACATAAATAATAAAAGCCTCATAATATTTCAGTTGTTGGCTGAACATATGAAACTTAAGTAACATATATAGTTCATTCATTAAAAACAAACAAACAAAAAAACCTTAACTGGACTTCAAAATTTTTATAAATGGAGGTTAGCATGGTGGCACCCTGGGCTAAGTAAGCCGCTGCCTGCAATTCTAGCATCTCATATTGGAACACTGTTTCCTTGCTATTTTAGCAATTTGAGCAGTTAGTTAACCAGCAGATTGAAGATCCCTGTTTCTCTCTCTCTCTCTCTAAAAGCAATCAATTAAATGAGGGGACGGAAGGAGGAATCTCTAAGCCTACAAAACCATAGCAAGGAAATAATAATAATAACAATAACAACAACACGACCACACAAAAGTAATCAATTAATTATATAACAGTTTTAGATACATCCATGATCTGTGAAAAACAGCATGACTATGAGACTGAAGAAAACCTTATTATTTGGTATAGTAGTAACTCATATCTTTCTGTGCTAATACCACCCTGCATTAATTATTCATAACTAATCTAGAAACACTGACAGAGTGCACAACTTGTTGATCAAAATTAATTTAACAGATGGTATTAAATTTTTGGTTTTAGTTATAAAAATGGACGAATTGCCCAGGAAGTCAACTGAACGTTTTGTATGGAGCTAGTGTAGTACTATTTGTTTCCTGCAAGACAGATTTCAAAATTTGTGGGGCCAGTGTTGTGACATAGCTGGCATCCCATAACCGTACCAGTTCAAGCCCTGGCTGCCCCACTTCTGTTCCAGCTCCTAGAAAAGGCAGCAAATAGCCCAATTATGTGGGCTCCTGCCACATACATGGGGAGACCCACACGGAATTCCTGGCTCTTGGCTTCTGCCTGGCCCAAACTCAAACTGTAACCGTTTGGGAAGTGAAACAGCAGATGGAAACATCTCTTCGTCTTTCTCCCTCTTTCACTCTGTCTCTCAAATTAATCATTTTTTTAAAAAAGTAAAAGTATTTGGATTGATTTGGTGCATTTATTAACCTAGAATGTAATTCATAATTTGAAATAAACTCAAAAGGTTCAGAAATGACAGAATCACAATCTCCTCCCAAACATCTCTTCCTCCATTGTAGACTCAAAGAGGAGGGAGATCAATTTGCAGATGGCGAGACACAAAGACATCTTCGTTTTCCCCTTCCACAAATCTGTTTCAGCTCTCACTGATTCTTCTGTTCTGTCACTCAATTGCTCAAATATACTTTAATATTTTTTAATTAATCTTACGTATGCAGTTCTTAGGATCCTAAAGTCTTCTTTCTGTGAAAATCATGATGATTCATTACAACACCAATCTCTCCCCATTTTAAATTCACCTGCCTTTCTATGAAGAATGAGATTTCACTGAAATGAGTTTGACTCAAATTGGCTTCTATATTGGACAACAGTTTTTTGTGTTGCTCCAATTTATCTGTATCTGACTGTTCCTTGACACAGCAAATGCTGATTTTTTTTCGGGCATCAGTATAGCAATATGAGAATTTCTTCATTTTCCTCACAGATTGATGGAGTTCTATTATAAAAAGTTTACTTCAAATTTCTACTATATTTGAACCTTTGTACCCTAACTAACTAACTATGTAAAGATTTTCAAAAATAAAGAAAAAAATTTATACCAAAAAATTCCTACTATAAAAAATTTACTTAAATTTGCCATGTAGCCAATTAGAAAGCACAAACCAGAGACACAGAACACAAAAAGTCTCGCCAATCACGCGGGAGACCTGGACTGAGTCCCAGGCTTCCAGTTTCAGCCCAGCCCAGCCGGCGGTCAGCAGTTACAGAAATATGAGAGTTCTCTGTCTCTATGCCCACTGTGTGTGTGTGTACACGCCGAGGATTGGAGGAGGGTGCCTAGGTCATTTACGCTCAAGCCAGTGTCATAATTAAAGCTATTCTGAAATATCAAAACATGAAATTTAAAATGGCAATAGCTACATCAAGTAGGATGTTTAACTTCTATGGCTGACAAGCAAAATGTTGTTTTTGTTCCTGGATAATTTACACTTAGTCAATAGTTACCTTACATAAAACTTCAACAGGCGTAGACATCTTCTTTTCACTAATCTTTTCATATTTCTGTTTCTTTGTTGCAGCCTATGAAAAAGAATCATATCACACAGACATGTATCAGTGAGAAAAAGTAGCTCAATACACTAGACTGATAAACGTACACTTGAGATTCACTAAAAAGAAACCTCAACCAACAATAGAAAATAAATTAAATACAATGCTTCTAATACTTTTTTACTTTTGAAATGACAGCTAATAGTGAATTCAATACGTGAGATTTAACTAAAAATATGTGGGGTTCAAGTTTGAAAGGAATTCCAACCACTTCCAACATAACAGCCAGCGTATAAACATGGCAACACACATAATAAGCCTATCATTTAGTTACACCAATAGTTAACCAAGAGTTACAGTTAATTGTGTAAATCAAACTAGTTTTCCAATTTGAAAACATTGATTTTGGATAAAACTACTCCTACAAGAACTGAATGTTTTAATTTAGTTGCTCAATAAAGTACAAGTTTATTGAGTGATACTACAAAGTCTTCCTATCACTAGTTTTACAACACATTTTCAACACAGTGGCAGCACATCAAAATGACAGTCTCATTTTCTTTGCCTGTGTCAACTTCCAACTACGTAATGCTAGTGACTGTCGACTCGTTCCAACTTACTATCTCAAAAGAAACTGTTCTTCAGCTGTTAACAGTGGACCTTCCATTAAGTTCTCACTAATCAGGTTGCTTTCAGTTACCAAATAAAAACCAAAATAAAGTAAAGGTTGTTCAATCTCAGATATGCAAGAGACCTTAATGGCTATCTTCTCCAATAGATATTTTTCTTAAAATACAAAGCAACTGGCAATGAGTCCTATTTACCTTTAATCCTTGCCATGGCAGGCTGGTTCTATTAAAATACATCAAAACATATCCTAATGACTCCATGTCATCTCGGCGACTAGAAAGAGAATGTAAAATATTATGAACCAGAATTAATATGAAAAAATATTATTTTGGAATATATATATATATATACCTAATGCATGTAAGAGGCCCTCAAAAATCAATGAAAAAAAAGTATCATGAAAAATTCCATTCTCAAAATATTTTTTACACCAAAACAATCTTCTAATTCTCTATTTCCATAAACATTTTCAAGCACACTCATATAATTTAATGTTTAAAACAAGAACAAAATAAATTTAGTTAAGTAACTAAATGAGTTGAATACAAACTTAAAACCAAGTAGGACACATTTGCAAGATTTGTAAGATTTGCACAGTTCATTAAAATAACTTCAGGGACACCAAAATCAATCACTGCTTTAAAGCTAACAATGTATTGATAAAATAAAGGAATTGGGGGCCAACGCCGTGGGGTAGCAGGAAGACATTGCCACCTGCAGTACTGGCATCGCACAGAGAAACTGATTTGTGCTCTGGCTGCTCCACTTCTGATCTATCTCCCTGCTAACATGCTTGGGAAAGCAGTGGAAGATGGTCCAAGTGCTTGGGTATGCACCGGGGAGACCTGGAAGAAGCTCCAGGTTCCTGACTGTGACCAGTCCAGCTCCAGCTGCAGTAGTGAACCTTTCTCCATCTGTCTATCCCTCTCCCTCCATAACTCTGCCTTTCAAATAAATAAATCTTTAAAAAACAAAGTAAAGGAACTTAATACAATAACATTTTCCATGTAAAAGCAGTTGATGAAGACACTTCAAAAAGTTTGGGGAGAAATGTAATAAAGTTTATTGTTCATTATTCTCATTTCCCATTAACTTCCGAAGACCTCAACAATCTCACCTAAAGCTGAACTTGCACCACTAAGATACATCCCTAAATTCTTAATATTTTCTTCCCAAGAGAACTTTCAATAAAGAAACAACAGACCTCTTGTAACTGGCTTCTGTGTATTGGCTAAACTAGCAAATAAAATAAGCATCCTTCAAACTCCCAGCCAAGATGGGTTTCAACACAGAAATGTAAACATTTAAAAAATCCAGCAATGATTTTGTTATGAAGTTGACAGCTTATTACAACTGTCAAACTCACCTTTGTTCAATACCAAGATGTGCATTGATGCTGGCATATCGGGCAGTGCCAGTGAGGTTTTTATCTTCTCTATAAGGTATATGTTGCCTTGTCCTGTTGTCTCTGTACTTTTTGGCCAAGCCAAAATCAATAAGGAATAACTTTAAAAGAGAAATAAAGAGACATTAGGTTTCCAGTCTTGTTGAGTAATATGCTTATTTATTTATTTAATAGATTATATCTATACTATGTATTCAAACACTTTAAAACAAACTATCCTAGGTGAAACAAGCAATGAACAGACTTAACACTCAAATATGCTTTAACTAGAGTTCATCAATAAATCTTTAAAAATACCATTAAAAACCAGTAGGTTTTATCTTTTTCATTTGTACAATTTCATAGGCCCATTTCATTATATAGTCATGAGCCTGACTTTATAAAGTAAAGAAACACATACATGCCTGATGGCAAAGTTGTCAAGTGTGCTGTTTATCATATAATGAAAACTCATTATATCCTATTACTACTGGCAAGCAAGCATGGAGTTTAAAAATCTAAACATAAGTTTTTTCAAAGCCCTCCTCTTATAAAGGCCACTCTTCATCATGCTAATAGAACGCTAAATAGCTAAAATAAGACAACCCTAAAGTAATATTGCCAACAAAACCAAGCCTTTTTATTATCAACCCCCCCCCACAACCAAAACCAAACCAAAAGCCTTTCCTAAACAAACATGCATTGCATTACATACTACTGCTTTACTTTACACTAATGTTACACAAGTGATCAGGTTAAACTTGTGGAAAATATGTTTCAAAATCTAAAAAAAAATCTCTTAGTATTAAAAGCAAGGCGGGTTTTAATGACCAATTTAAATGAGCCAATTTTTTAAAAAGCTAGTATTTTAAAATATTTTGTGCTATTCTGTCTAAATGGTACACAGAGAATAAGGTACTGATCTACAATGCAACTGATTTTTCTAAGTAATTTGTATTTATTCTTCAGAATGAAACTTTTAAAAGAAAAAAAATCCCTATTCTTAATAAAAAAAATCCAAAATATATTCTCATGTGTCTAATTTGTAAAGCAAAATAATCTTTATTCAAAATCTTGGCCAAATCTTAAAAAAAAAAATTTTTTTTTTTAAACCTTGGAAAGTGAACCACCAGATAGAGCAGATCTTTCTGTATCATCTCTTCTTTGCGCCAGGTAGGTCTGGGTGCCCTTGCATTATAGTTCTATGATTTGGTTGTACTCCAGTTAAGCCTAGATTTTATATTTTACTAGTTTACTAGTTCCCTTCTGCCACAATGCAATCTCACCTAACCTGTTAATAAAATAAAGAGTTAATGGGTCATTTAAGTTGAAAACATCTGAACAGGTGCCTCTCTTAAAGGGGGATGAATGACATCTATTTTAGCAAGGCTACAATCTATTCTGTTTTACTTAGGATGGTAGATATTAACATCTTAATTGCTGTTACCATGCCAACACTTAGTTATTTTCATTTGGTCTACTGTAAAGTCAAATGATTTGCAAAATGCAAATGAAAGATGAAGACTCTTTAAGTAGTAAGATTAAACTCCATGAAAAACCAAAATATTAAAAGGAATAAGGGAAAGTCATTCTTACATAAAACATTGAGATAAAAAATTTACACTGCAAAAGTTTTCAAAATGAAAACAAGTTCAATACACAAAATTTAAAAATGACTAAAATACACTTCTACCAAGCAAAATAAAAATTATACGTGTCAGCATACTGAGAAGAAAAGTATGGGAAATATAAACACAAAAGGAAATTCAGTATTTTTTAAAATAATAAATAAAATAATCTATAGATGTCTTCTAGGGTTATTTTCTGAGATTGCTTCCTCTAGCACATCAAAACAGGAGAGAAAAAGGAACAGCCCTGAAATGAATATATCTAATAAGTTTCATTTATGTTTAAATTCTACTTTCATAGCTCCATTTACAACTAAAATAACCACTTTCTCATAGCCAAATATAGCTTTAAATAAAGTAAGTATTCAGTAGAGGATTCTTTCCAACACTAAAGAGACTGTATTTATTAAAAAAAAAAATTAAATATGTGAATGCTACCTTCTTGAGCATTTCAATTTTTAACATTAGAAAAACCAACAGTGTAAGCTAATCAACATTAAATCTCCCCATCTCCTTGCAAAAACTAAAGAAATATCACTGCTGAAGAAAGGCATTTAATTTCCAGCAAACAATTAAAAATTACTTCCAATAAAAAAATTTAGAAAGCTTTTTGCTAAAGCTTCTTTAGTAGCTTTCCGAATACTTTCAATTTAAACAAATATCAATATGAATGATAACAAGGATACAAGCAGCTGTAACCGTTTTTAAAAGGTACAAATGAGAAAAGTATCAAATAAATATGAGAAATACTTTTTGTAAGCTTCCATATTTAAAGTAACAGGCAAATTCTTGGGTCAAGCTACTTTTCAGTGGATTTTTACTAATTTGTAAGTAAAATGTGTGCCTGTTTGAAAAAATACTGCCTGCTTACTTTTCAAAGGCATGTGGAATAAGTTAATATTTGATAAACTATGATAATTCATTCAGCAGAGGTAAATTCTCTTCAGAAACACTATTTCTAATTTTAGATTTTAGTACTAGGTGCAATTTTTCTCCTAACCAGGGATCATACTTCTCTTGATCCAAATTTGCAGGATCTCTTTATCTCACAACCTTACTGAATTTTATGTACTGAATATAAACAAACTAACATGTCAACTTACCATTAAATATTTATGTTGCTTTAAATTGTTAGTAAAATGTGTAAATAAATAATCTCAAGGTGTAAAATTCTGCCTTATAATGTATATCTTGCCTGACAAAAACTAACCATCAGATTGCTGGGAACTAAGAAGTGACAGACTGAGATAAATTCTACAAACACTAAATCTGAAATCTCATCTTACCTGAAGTTCATTAGGGAAGGGGAAGAGAGGTGAGGCACAATATGTTCATTTTACAGCACTGATGCAACTGAATTTCCGTGTATTAAGTTCTGCAACTCCAAATACATTTTTAAAAACTAAACAAGCTATCTCAAATTTACTATTAGATAAAGCATTTCAATACTAAACCAACACAGCATTTCTTCATATGAATGTTAGATCTAAACATAATATCCTATTTTCATTTAGATTTTCTCTAAAGTTTACAAATTTAAGCAAAAGCCACAAAGAAACATCTTAGTAATGTTATGTTTGCCAAGTATGTCTGAATAATGCCAACGTAAGAGGTGCTTGAGCAAGATCTACAATCTCCAGAAATTAAAACAAAACAAAATAATCGAAATAGAACAATAAAAAAGAAAAGCACATGAATTTGGGATTGAGGTTGGAATAGGAGACAGTTTCAGACCTGGTTTAATCCTGAGAAAGATGGGTCCTGAGAAGTACTAACAGTCATGCTTCTTTTCCTCTTCCCCACTGGAGATTCTAAACACTAAACAGACAATAGAGGGTGGCAGTGCATCAAACAGTATTGCTTACATTGCAACAATGGCCGGCGCAGACAGGCAACACCGAGGCATTAGAGAAAGAACAGGGTAGCCAAATGCCATCCTTCTTCCACCAAGCACTGTAGCTTCTCAGTTTTCCAAATAAGAATCACATGCTCAAGAACATTTGAAATCTAGAGAATACTCAGTTTTTTTAATGCCACTATATTGTGTCACTGCCTGAAACAGGGAGAGCAATGGTGACATTTGGCTCTATTTTTCTTTTTTAATCAAAAATGGGGAATTTGGAGCTGTAATCTTTAGTACCACAATCTGCCCTTCCCCGAAAAAAGTTTGTACAGGGGGAAAAAAAATCTTCAGTAAGGAAGAGGTAGAAGGCATTTAGTCACCTTAAAATTTATTTTCATAAGCATGCAGGGCTGATTACTGGAAGAAATGAGCAAATTCACTAACATTGGAGTGGCCACTCCTAAGTATCAAATTCAGAACAATTTTCCAATTAGAAATTTAACTTTAAAAATTTACCTCCAAAGTCCCCCCCAAATCTCCCCCCATACCCATGAATAAAAACTACTGGAATGAGCTGACCAAAAAAAAAAAAAAAAAAAAAAAACCAGTTTCACTTAACTGACATTTTTCAAACTACAATATAGGAAACACTAAAAGCCAACTAGGTAAACAGAAAAACAGAACACTAAAATATTCAAGAGCAACATTTAGTATCTTCACTTCACTTCTACGCCACAGACTCTGAAACAGGCAAAACAGCTCCACAAAAATCACGAAATTATTTTATTTTCTGTAAGGAGGACACATATTCTAAAAAGGTATTCACAACTAAGCAACATAAACTTAATAACACAACTACATATTAAAAGCTATTCTTGAGGGAAAAAATTATCAAAACAGAAAAAAGTGGCCCCCCACAATGCAAACTCCCACAGTATTATTATCTAATTCAAACCAAAAATCATGCACTGCACTGTCAACATGCAGAACAGGGATTAAATGGTGGAATACAGTCTTCATGGATAAAAATATGGTTGGAAAATGGCCAAAGACTGGAAGACAAACTGACAAAATTGCTACCCTTCCCCCAATCAAGACCAGCAAATTTTTTTTTCTGGTTAAATTACCAGGTTTTCACCCGGATGCTTCAAATGGAAAAATGTAATTTGGGGATGACAAAGCATGTCTATTTAAACATAATTCATTAAAGTTCAATGAAAAAAAATTATTTTCCTAAAACTTGATCATCTCAAGATTAATATCTTACACATTAACAAATAACACCGAGTCTAATGGCAATGACTCCAAGTTGGCATTCATACAGGCAAACACAGGTAAACATTTGTAGCTAGATCTAAAGTACCAAAAATTCCCTAGTAAGTTTAAAGAAAACAAATGGGGAAATCTTCCTTCTAAAACCAAAAGAAAACAAGAAATCCTAAAAAACAAAAAAATGTTCCCAGGTTGTCCTGAAGTTGAGAATTTCTATCAGGTCATCAGATTAGAACATGCTTAAGTGCACTGCCAATGCTGCCTGTCTGCCCGAGCTCAACATTGAATCAACAAAAAAAAGCAATTCACTCACATAGCTAATCATTGAAGAAATATATTTCAATTAGTTACTGTCTTCAACCATGCACCACTAGCTAGAGCCCAATCACCCATAAATTGAACCATTCTCAGAAAACCCAAAGAACACTATTTTGTGGTATGAAGGTTCATTTCACTTCTACATATTTTTCTTTAAAAGGAGGGAAGAAAGGCTGGAAAATTCACCCAACTTGGCATCCAAATAAGAAACTGTCAACTACTTTTGAAACAGGCCTAAAAGCTAGCCCTTTAAATACACAAATCCAACGACTGAAGAATTCTCAGTATCAACCATGCTGAGTCAGCAAATGTTAACGCCATGGTCACAGATGAGTCAGTGGTTTCCACACTGGCACAAGCACATATATTGTATTACAAAAACACACACTTCAGTGTCAAAGATTAAAATCTGATTTTCAGCATTTAGGAAGAAAAGTATATGGGGTCTTTCACTATTCAAGTGAATGAAAATTGGATACAACTATTCACCAGTTAAATAACAGACCATTATAGTTCATTATAAAGACCCTGGAATTTTACGTACCCATATAGATAACTAACCTTGGTTGGATAAGTTGGATAAAATTCATTTCAAGTTACTAAGTTAATAGAGTTAGCTTAGCTGATTAACTTTCTAGCATATTTTTAAAAGCAATTATCAACAGCCAATTTCTATTTTTTTAAAGACTGGAGATTTACCAAAGCAATTCTTGTGGATATTTTACTCGTTCTTCTTTCATGCAAAGAGCATTTGACTAACCTTATTACAGTGACGCCCAATACCCATTAGGAAGTTATCTGGCTTAATGTCTCTGTGTATAAAATTCTTTGTATGCACATATTCGATTCTACTGATCATCTAGAAAAAAAGGGGGGAAGAGACAACTTATTTAAGTGATAAAAGAAAGCAAGACATTACTTTAACTATTGTAGTATCTCATTTCCTTGAAGTTCACAAACATTAGAAAAAATAGAACAAGCAAGCACTACAATTATTTCTTCACCGACATATTTTTGTATACACCTGCAGCGTCCTCTGGTTCACCCTTCCAGGATTAAATGGAAGACTTAGCATTTAAAATGTCAAAATTTTAAATTTGCATTGTTCAAATCAACTTCTACAACAAAAGAAATAAAGTAAAAACTTTCTACCCTCAATACTATGCCTTAAAGTAGGTCCCACAACTATAACCATGCTAACCTTACATATAAATACAGACACAAACCCAGACTAATACACACACTTCTGAAGTCCCTTTGACATGCTGGGTCACTTTTTGTACTTTCTTTTTCCATAGTTGTATAATCAGATTCAATAACTGAACATTGAACAAATTGTTTTTTTCTCTTTTTAAAATAATATTCTTTAAAGGTTTATTTTTATTGGAAAGGCAGATCAGAGAAGGAAAGATCTTCCATCTGCTCATTCACTCCCCAAGTGGCTGCAACAGCTGGAGCTGAGCCGATCTGAAGCCAGGAGCTTCTTCCGAGTCTCCCATGTGGGTGCAGCATCCCAAGGCTTTGGGCCATCATCTGCTGCTTTCCCAAGCCACAAAAGCAGGGAGCTGACAGGGAAGTGGAGCAGTCATGAGAAGAACTAGCACCCATATGGCACCCTGGTGCTTTGCAAGGTGAGGATTTAGTCACTGAGCCATTGTGTCATGCACTGAATAAACTTTTCTTAATTTGTTGGGAATTATGTCAAGTTTAATGATATGGCTCTTACATCTGAGATCTTCAAATCACTGGCTCACTCCTTATATGTCTGCACAGGCCAGTGCTGGGCCAGGCCAAATCCCCATGCTTCATCCGGGTCTCTCACATAGGTGGCAGGAGTCCTAAGACTTAACCCTCTAATGTTGTTATTCCCAAACCATTAATAGCACTAACAGGACTGCAAGTAAAGTAGCTAAGACACAAACCAGCACCTACATTGGATGCTAGTCATTAATGGCAGCAGTCTTATCCACTATGTCACAATTTCAGTCCCTCTAACGTTCTTTCGAACAGACACATTCTGCTATAGTTTTACTATTATTCCCGTATGCACTTGGTGGCACTTTAAAATAGTATTTTAAGGTTCATGGAGGGCCCAGCATGATGGATCAGTGACTAAATCCTCGCCTTGCACACCAGGATCCTGAATGGGTGCCAGTTTGTATCCAGGCTGCTCTACTTTACATCCAGCTCCCTGATTGTGGCCTGGAAAAGCAGTAGGGCAGACTTAGTGATCTGTCAGTGTTCAGGAAAAGGTATATGCAATTTCTAAGCTGTGAATTGGTAAAATATTTTTGACTCAGAAATGTAACAGGGATTGGGCTTGGCACGATAGACTAGTTGACCAAATCCTCTCCCTGTACATGCCAGGATCCCATATGGGCACCAGTTCATGTTCCGATGCTCCACTTCCCATCTAGCCCTCTGCTTGTGGCCTCAGAAAGCAGTAGAGGATGGCTAAGGGCCTTGGAATCTCACACCTGTGTGTGAGAGACCCTGAAGAAGTTACTGGCTTCAGATCAGCCAAGCTCAGGCTGTTGTGGTCACTTGGGAAGTGAACCAGTGGATGGAAGACTTTTCTCTCTGTATCTCCTTCTGTCTATATAAATCTGCCTTTCTAAAAGGTTCTTGGAAAATGGAGCTAAAAGATGAGATTATCTTGGTAATTAAAAAAAGAAATCCATGTATACAACTAATCTTTAATTATGGATTTAAAAAGTTATTCTGCAAGTCAAGCTTAGCATTGTAGTGCTATGGTTTAAGTCACTTCTTGTCACATACATATACATCTCATAGTGGTTTGAGTCCCAGTTTTCACTTTTCTTTTTTAAGATTTATTTGAAAAGTGAATTTTTACAGAAAGAGGAAAGATATGGTCACAATGGCTGGAGCTGAGCCAATCCAAAGCCAGGAGAGCTTTGTCCTGCTCTCCCACATGGCTGCAGAAGCCTAAGGAGTAGGACTACTGTCTGTCGCTTCCCCAAGCCATAGAAGAAAGCTGGACTGGAAGTGAAGCAGCCAGGACCCAAACTCCGTTAATATGGGATGCTGGCACTAACAGAAGATTAGCTTGCAGCGCCACTGAGCCAGCCCCAACCACTCAACTTCTAATCCAGATTCCTATTAATGTGTCTGAAGCGGCAATGGAAGATGGTCTCAACCAGGGGAAACTGAAAAGGAGCTCCTGCCTCAGCATGGACCAAACTTAGCCGTTGAGGCCATTGGGGAATGTTTCGTTCACCAGTTTACCAATAAGGTATACCGGGGCGAGGAGGGGGCGCACAATCAAACACAGCTCAAAAAAAAAAAAGCAAAACAAAAAAAAGCAAAACAAAAACAAAATTTACTTGAAAGGCAGAAATACACAGAGAGCAAGACAATAATCTCCAATCTCCAATCTGCTTGTTCAACTCAGCCAAGTCTCCCTTGTGGGTGGGCAGGGATTCAACAACTATTTACTACTTTCCAAAGTGTGCATTAGCTGAAAGGTAGAATCTGAAACAGAGAGGACCTGGGTAGGTCCTCTAATATGGGTTGCAATCAACCCCAACAGCATTTTAACTGCTATGCCAACTACTCAGGCCCAAATATGTCTTTTAATTCCATTTTTCAAGAACTTTCTGAAATACTCCTGATTATTACTGTTCCCACTTGTTCACTATAACCAATAAACAACGGTGCCAATGTATTCTTACTTATTGATGCTTTTGTTTCATGGACTAAAAATTCCATATAATTATGCATTCAGTTGGCTTTACTGACAACAGGTATATTTTTCATTTTGATAATGTCAGACTGCCTTTCAAAATCATCTATAAAATTCTCATTTTTGCCAACGGTATAGTCTATACAACTAGCAAAACTACTTTAGCTGGGTTTTTTTAAAGATTCATTTATTTTGATTGGAAAAGAAGATTTACAGAGAGGAGAGAGAGAGGGGAAGATCTTCCAACTACTGGTTCACTCCCCAAGTGACTGCAATGGCTGGAGCTGGGTTTATCTAAAGCCAGGAGCAGGAACTTCTGCTGAGTCTCCCATGTGGGTGCAGGGTCCCAAGGCTTTGGGCCATCCTCAACTGCTTTCCCAGGCCACAACCAGGGAGATGGAAGAGAAGTAGAGCAGCCAGGATACACACTGTGCCCATATGGGATCCCAGTGCATGCAAAGTGAAGACTTTAGCCACTAGACTACTGCCCCAGGTCCAACTTTGCCATTTTGGTAAGAAGACTTGTCCTTTTTTTTTGTCAATATTCAGTTCTCTGTGCTCTGGGTTTTTATAGATATAATTTTTAAAAAATGTTATTACTTCTGACATTTGTGACATGTACATTTTATAATTTTTGAATTATCAAATTTTCCTATAAGATATTTGCTTAGGAAATATATTTTTACATATATTTCACACCTAAAGACTATCAATAGTATCTTCCTAACCATATGTTATTGCTCCCTAGTAGTACACGTCGGGATTATATTTTCTATTTGTCCTTTTTTTACCCACAGCTTTTTATTACTCTAGACATACAGATTTTAAATCATACTTCTCAATCTTGACAAGTACCAGTCAAAATTGGTAATCTCTGGCTTAAATTACCATACCCTGAAAGAAATAACTGTATATAATGTACAAAATAACACCTTTAGGTACAGCAGCAACTTATACTTTAAAGGGAGTAAAATAAAATATTTAGGTCACTTAATGTGCATGCTTGTCTTAGTTAAGTAATACCCATCATTAAAACTGTTGACTATTAAATCACTGGAAAAGGGTGAGTAAAGAATAATTAATGATACAAATTAGAGACTAAGTCAAGCACTATCTATATGCAAAGTAAGACTTGGTTGGTAACTGCCTCAGAGCAAACAGTTTATTTTTTTATCATGTTACTGGTGTGCTCAACATAGACTTCCAAAAGATCTTGGTTAAATACAACCAACAGCTAACAAACCTGTACTCTAAAAAGCACTAATCTGGCCAAAAAATATATTAGTTATTTAGTTATTTCAGCACAATACTTTGTCTTAAAAAGAGGAAAGAAAAAGTGTTTGGGGCTGGTGCTGTGGCAGATAAAGCTCTCTCCCAAAATGCGGATATTCCACCTGGGTGCCAGTTCATGTTACAATTGCGTCCACTTCCATTCAACTCCTTGTTATGGTCCTGGGAAAATCACAAAGAATGACCCAAGTGTTTGGGCCCCTAGAAGCCATGTGGTAACCCAGCAGCTTAAGTCCCTGCCTTGCATGCAGCAGGATCCCACATGGGCGCTGGGTTGTATCCCAACAGCCACACTTCCCATCCAGCTCCCAGCTTGTGGCCTGGAAAAGCAATGGAGGATGGCCAAAGCCTTGGGACCCTGAACCCTTGTAGGAGACCTGGAAGAGGCTCTGCTCTGGGCTCCTGATTGGCGCAGCTCTGGCCATTGTGGTCACTTGGGGGATGAATCAATGGACGGGCAATCTTCCTCTCTGTGTACTTGACTTTGCAATAAAAATAAAATCTTAAAAAACAAAAAACAGAGCAAAACAAAAAAACACCTCTTGGCTTCAACCTTGCCAGCTTGCCAGCCTCATGTTGTAGCCACTTAGGGAATGAACCAGCAGATGGAAGATTTCTGAGTTCTGCTTTCAAATAAATAAATAATCTTTAAATATATAGATACACATACAGTTCTCATAAAGTTTCCATACATAATATAATTACATTCAAATAGATCTTACAAGAAAACCTGCCATATCAAAGACAAACTCCATCAAAAGGAATATCTTGGAAACTAGTCCAGAGATAAGTAATAAACCAATTTACAGACTAAGTCATGTTAGAATGGCAAACTTAAAGAATACACCCAGAGAAAATTAAGACTATAAAACAGTCAACAGAAGTATTCCCAGTATTTTACTCTCACCTACCTGGTCAGCCAACATAAGTACAGTTTTCATTGTGAACCTTCTTGAACAGAAATTGAAGAGGTCTTCAAGGCTGGGTCCAAGAAGATCCATGACTAGCACATTATAGTCTTTTTCCTGTCCATACCACCTAAAAGAGCAAAAGGAGAGAATGAAGGGGAAAATTATCGTGAACAGCTGATCATATAATACCACCAAACTCCAAAAATCTTCATATTTTCCTGGATGCTTTCCTTTATTCTCAGATGCTGAACCCACTGATTAAAATTATCCAACACAAAACAAAGCTAACCATACTTTCCAATTTGTCAAGTGACCTCAATCTTGTATGGATAGGAGAAACACAAATAGCATTTATACAACTGTTACAAAGGCAGCTGAATTCCACTGACCATGGAGGAGGAGCTGATCCAAAGCCAAGAACTTTTTCCAGGTTTCCCATGCGGTGACAGGATATCACCATCTTAGGTCAACCCCCACTGCCTTGCCTCGCATTCTGGGAACCCATGTGGGTATTGGTTTATTTCCCAGGGTCCCTGCTTCCCATCTAGCTCCCTGCCTGTAGCCTTGGAAAGCAGTCAAGGATGGCCCAAAGCTTTGGGACCCTGTACCCACGTGGGATACCTGGAAGACGTTCCTGGCTCCTGGCTTCAGATCAGCTCAGCCCTCCTCTGTAAATCTGCCTTTCTAATAAAAATAAGTAAATCTTAAAAAAAAATTTTTTTTTTAGCTCACACTGAATTTCTTTTTAGTTCCAACTATGGCCAATACCAAGGTTTACCATATTTATACAACTGAGAAGGCAGAATACAACCTAGGTTCCAGAATCCCTGCCATGGGGGAGACTTAAAGCTCCTGGCTTCAGTGTAGCCCTACCTTGGCTGTTTTATTTATTTGGAGAGAAAAACAGTGGATGGAAGATCTCTATTTTCTCTCCCTCTCCATCATCCCTGTTTGGCTCTTTCAAATAAATAAATCTTAAGGGGGGGGGGGACAAATTAAATTAATTAAATTGAATTCTATTGCTTTGTATATCTTGCTTTTTTTTTTTTTTTTTAACTTAACTGCAAAAGCAAATCTGCCAGACATCAAGAACTGGCCCACAGAAATGCTCACTACTATTAAGTTACAGGAAGAAGAAAAACTGACATTTACTAATTTTATTGGAAAGACAAGTCTACATAGAAGAGATACAAATAGTATTAAGATCTATCCACTGCTTCACTCCCCATGTGGCCACAACAGCCAGAGCTGAGCTGATCCAAAGCCAGGAGGCAGGAGCTTCATCGGGGCTCCCATGCAGGGGCAGCATCCCAAGGCTTTGGGCCATCCTCCACCGCTTTACTAGGCCACAAGCAGGGAGCTGGGTGGGAAGTAGAGCAGCTGGGACACAAACTGGTGTTCATACAGGATTCCTGGCGCATGCAAGGTGAGAATTTAACTACTAGGCTATCATGCCGAGCCCATATACTTAACTTTTAATGTAAATGTAATTTAGGTGAAGAAAATGAGAACATCAAATAAAAAGAATTACATGAGAAGACACAAAAAGTCAAACCAGCCAAAGGGAAAACCATAAACCAAATCTCAAAAGACCACATATCTCGTATCTATAGATTCCCACCAATGGCTCAGACACAAAATTACAACAACAATTCTATAACCATCAAAGGCTTAATATAAGTCTGAAATGAAAAATGTGGTTTACAGCTTTAGGCAATGGATATCATAAAGTATTTATGATCATTTCATTCATTCATTTATTTATTTCAAAAATGGAGCGGCAGGAAAAGAGGGAAGGATCTCCCAGCAGCTGATTCACTCCCCAGTGCAACAGCCAGGGCTGGTCCAGGCTGACGCCAAGAGCCTGAACTCTGCACAGGTCCTCCCACCCAGACAGCAAGAGTCCAAAGTGAACATATCATAACACTGGCCCTTTGATAAAGCACTTTCAAAAAAAAAATATATTCATACCCTATATCTCTAATTAGAAGCTGGGAATCGGATAAATTGTGAAACACACTTTCAAAAAAAAAAAAAAAAAGCCTAACAAACAAAGAAACAGGTTAAGGATAGACAATATAGAACCACACTGAAGTTACTATTTGGCAGCATTGTGGCAGCCGGTAAAGTCCTAGTCTGCAATGTGGGTATTCCATGAGTGCTGGTTCCTGTTCCCTTCTGATGCGCTTGGGAAAGCAGAACGTGGCATCAGTGCCTGTTCCTCTGTATTCCTGTGGGAAGAATGGAAGAAGCTCCTGGCAGAGCTCTAGCTATTGCAGCACTTAAGGAACAAAGCAGCAAATGGAGATCTTTCTGTCTCAACTGTGCTCTCCCTGCCTTTCAAATAAAACAAATGGATGTATAAAACAAGTTACTGGATATATCTTTCTGAGTAAGTGTATCAGCATCAGACATGGTTATCACCCATTTCTCTCCCATTCCCTCCTCCAAAACCGAGCCAGAATAAGAATACTTCAGAGGTATTTTTCTCTAAAGAGCAACCACACAGCTTTAAGATAGGTCTCTCTGATCCAGAGACTGGTACTGTCAGCCCCTTAAGCCTAAGAGACAAGTGTTTCTACCTTTAACACTTCCTTTTGGTCTCAGGAATGTACAGCTAATTCCTCTAAAGCTAACACTTCAGTCTTTCACACGGACTTATTCACTCAGACATTTTTACAAAGATGGGGAACCCAGAGTGATCTGCTCAACCAAACCCTACTCCTTCTTAGTTTCTACCTTCACTTCCCTGTTTTTCATTTCTGACGAATTCTCTACTACCAATTCCAACAACCAAAAACTCAGATTAAAAAAAGTGAAAACCAACCCTTTATCATTTCAGTCTCCTATTTCATAGAATCTGCTCAGTAGATGCCGTGAATCCACAACTTAACCACCCAAAACAATATAAAACTTACACATTACTTTGGTGTTTGTCTGTACTCTGGTAGCATAATGTTAACTATTTCATTTTGAATAGTCTTTATGAAACACAAATAATGGACAAGCACTAACCTAATTCTGAGGTCACTTTAAGTTTGTAGACAGTCTAAAACCTCACTGCTAGCCTCCATTTTCCAGGAGCCTTGAAGCTAGAAATCAGCAGACGGAAGATCACTCTTTAACTCTATCCATCAAATAAATAAATCTTAAAGGAAAAAAAAATGATTGGCACTTATAGGGAGAATATTTGGCCGACTGGTTGGTACAGATTAGAGGGCCAGCATCCCATAACAGAGTTCCCAAGTTTGATTCTGGTTTGATTCCAGCTTCCTGCAAAGGCAGATACTGGGAAACAGCAGTGATCCCGAGTAACTTGGGTTTCTGCCACCCATGTTGGAGACCTAATCTGAATTCCCAGTTCTGGGCTTCCACTCTCCCTACTCAGGGCATTTTGAGAGTTAACCAGCCAAGGAATTGGAATTTGTAATTTTTTTTCTCTCTCTTTGATACATAAATAAAATGATTTAAAAATAAAAAAGAACAGAATTTTTGAAATGGTCTCAGACGCAGAACATTTTTTTTTTTAAAGATTTTTTTTTTTTTATTGGAAAGGCGGATATACAGAGAGGAGAGACAGAGAAGAAGATCTTCCGTCCGATGATTCACTCCCCAAGTGAGCGCAACGGCCGATGCTATGCTGATCCGAAGCCAGGAGCCTCTTCTGGGTCTCCCGCGCGCGTGCAGGGCCCCAAAGCCTTGGGCCGTCCTCGACCGCCCTCCCGGGCCACAGGCAGGGAGCTGGAGGGGAAGAGGGCCCGCTGGGATAGAACCGGCGCCCATATGGGATCCCAGGCGTGCAAGGCGAGGACCTCAACCACTGCGCCACCGCGCCGGGCCCCAGAACATTTTCATTAAAGAAACACAATATTGCTAACTGCTGCTCTGGGAAACTAGAGTAATCAGATTTAACAGTAAAGAAAATGGACATTGTGCAGCCTAAATAGCTAGATCGAAAATATAGATTCCACTGATTTTTTTTTTAAACTGATTCAGACATGAATAGAAGAAAAGACTTTTGTTTTTTAAGATTTATTCATTGCTTTTCAGCCGTTTACCTAAGATCAAGTGAAGAGTTATTCTATTTTTATTGGAAAGGTAGATTTACAGAGAGCAGAGACAGAAAAGTTCTTTCATCTGCTTGTTCACTTCCCAAATGGCTGCAACAGCTGAACCTGGACCAATCCAAAACCAAGAGCTAGGAGTCCAGATCTCCTACATGGGTGCAGGGTCCCAAGGCTTTGAGCGATTCTCAACTGCTTCCCAGACCCCAAGCAGGGAGCTGGAAGGAAGTGGGGCTGCCGGGACATAATATGGCACCCATTTAGGATTGCCATGGCTAAAAGAGGAGGATGAGGCAATTGAGCTATTGTGCTGAGCCCCACCACAATCTTAGACGTGAGTATGACTGATTTACCTGATTAATAATTCTGAAAACAGAAAGGCTTCAAGTCAGTTTAGATAGTAACCCAATCTTCTATGACACTGACCCTTGCGCAGGGTTGCTCAAACTCACAACTGGATGAATCCACCCTTACCTCTGCCTTAACAATGTTACAACCCCAAGGAGGGCAATAACAAACATGCAAGTAATTCAAAACAATACAGTACTAGAAAGTGAAAAGTGGCACAATGGTTACACCAGTAAATGATCTGCCTGCAAGCAACAACCATCCCATACCGGTGTTAGTCGGGTCCCAGACACTCCTTATCCATTCCAGCTCCATGTTTATGGCCAGGGAAAACAGCAGAAGATGATCCAAAGCCTTGGAACCCTGCACCATATGGAAGACCCAGAAGAAACTTCTGGCTGCTAGCTTTGGATTGACTCGGCCTCAGCCATTGTAGCCATTTTGAGAATGAACCACTTGATGAAAGATCTTTCTGTCTCACTTCCTTTGTCCCTCATCTTAAAAATAAATAAATAGGGCCCGGTGCGGTGGCGCAAGTGGTTAAAGTTCCCGCCTTGAACGCCCGGGATCCCATATGGACGCTGGTTCTATCCCGGCAGCCTCGCTTCCCATCCAGCTCCCTGCTTGTGGCCCGGGAAAGCAGTCAAGGACGGCCCAAGGCTTTGGGACCCTGCACCCATGTGGGAGACCCAGAAGAGGCTCCTGGCTTCGGATC